TTTTTTTTAATGTGTCTGCTTTGTTTGTACGGAGTTTGTTTGTTTTGTTTGTTTGTTTTTTATTATTATTTAATGATAATAATCTGTGTATACTTAAAAGGACCATAAAAATGGAATTTCTTTCGACTTCTTGATACCGACGGCTTTCGATCGTCAGATAAAAAAGAAATAGAAAAAGTGTTGCTGTTTACTACCTGTTTTTAGTTTCTATCATGGGGCTGGTCCATATGTGATTTCAATTATTACTCTTTTTGTTCTCACTTTTTATCTTTTTATATTATATATATATAAGGGAAAATGTAAATATTGAATATTTTTGCTAAACCCGGCTCGTAAGTCAGGTGATAGTTTATAAATGAATTTTGAGCTTCCGTGATAGTTTTTACAACTTATATCTGACAAACTAATCGACACGATACAAAATGTCTGATAAAATTAGTTGATAACAAAAATTTCAACATATTGTTTTGAAAAGCTATGAAATGAAGCTGATGAGAGAAACTCAAGCTTCTTAAACAAGTTTTTCCTATCAAATCAAACTTACGTTGGGCTTACCAAACACACTCCTAAAATATTATCCTTGAATACTAAGTGAAAAAGTACTTGGTACAACTAGTGTGTAGAAAACTAATTATTCATAAAATATCTATAATGTTAATTAATGATTGTTATAGTGAAACTTGAATAATTTAATTTCTAGAAAACAATTTTGTAGGTGAAGTTATAGAGATGCTACTAATATTCTTAATTATGACAATAAACATGTGGATAACGATGCTTGATTGTATTAAATGATTGAAGGCAACTAATGATATTAGTTGGTTTTTTTGAGTAGAGAAAGGATTATATGAGAAAGATGAGTGGTGAAAGAAATAAGAATGATCCTGGATCATCGGATCCAATATTTCTTGTCATGATCATGTCAAATTTAAAATGTGGCAGTCAAATACGTAATGACAATTTCGTAAATAAATGCATATGTTGTGGTTAAATATAAAATGTTGACTACTCATTAACGACATTTATGTCATATTACACAACTCCTAAACCACTTAACTTGTGGGTTCCACCATAAATCTCTCTTCCAAAAACCGATACACCACAGTTTTCTCACACACACAGGCACATTTGCACGCACAGGCCGTCGGAAGCCTCTGTCCTCGCCGCTCGATGTCAACAGCTCCACTGCCACCGCCAATCAACAGCCAGAGACGACAACATGCTCCATTCCGGTCGTCGGATGCTGCTGCGCTCGTCTCTGTCGACGTGCTCATTGGAGAGAGCTGCCTTTCCGGCGATTTGGTGGCTGGCAAAATCCAGGTGGTCGAGGACAGCGGAGTCGGGACATCGAAAGCAGTAAAAAATGGAGGTCTGTTGGTTGCAGAGCAGATTGAAGGCGCGACGGAGGATGAAGACGTTGATAGAGTTACCGAGGTGGTTGGCCACAATGGCGGTCATAGAGTTGACGGTGGCGGAGACGACTCGACGGTAGAGACGATAGACGTTTTTCATATTTTTGGAGGGCTCTGACGGAGGACGAAGACATTAATGGAATGACGAGGTGGCTGACCACTATGGTGGTTACGATGGTCAGCGGCGGTGTTAGAATCTGTGAGGATCTCGTTATGTACAAATCAAGAACTCAATAAAAAACGTAAACCTATGCGTAGCGGATCTAAAAGTTTGACGTAGAAAACTTAC